TGTTGATGGTGATGTTGATGTTGATGGTGATGGTGATGGTGATGGTGATGGTGATGGTGATGGTGATGGTGATGGTGATGGTGATGGTGATGGTGATGGTGATGGTGATGGTGATGGTGATGGTGATGGTGACTGCCATCGTCATCGTCATCGTCATCGCCTCGGGCCTCTGGGGCCCTCTTGGGGCCGTCTTGGGGGCTTCTTGGGGCCGTCATGGGGCCATCTTGGAGGCCTCGTGGGCGATATTGGGGGCCTCTTGGGCCGTCTTGAGCCGTCGGAATGCCGAGCAGAAGCACATGCCAACATCTCTTACAAACCGTAGGGCAATCAGTGATCTTGGCCTCTTCGGGCCCTCCTGGAGGACCTCTTGGAGGCCTCTTGGGCACTCTTGGAGGCCTCTTGGGCACTCTTGGAGGCCTTGGGGCGGCCTCTTGGACCGTCTTGCGCCATCTGGAAGCCATCTCAGGCCCCTCCGACCACTACACAGACAGCCCGGCCGCGCGCTTGGCAGCCGGGGACCTCCTCCTGGTGAGGAGGCCTTCGATTCGGCGCGTGCGCGCGCGCAGCATGGCGCGCGCGGTGCCCGCCGCAGACGTCAGGCAGACTGCTTTGCTCGAGTCGCGGGCCCCTGCGGTCTCGACCGTCTCCAAGGGGTTATGATGCTCCCACCTACGAAAGCCCTGGTCACCAGAAAGAGTGTCGAGCAGCAACAAAATGCCGAAACCTGAGGGTTTTCGCGTGTCGGGCCCTCGGAGGCGACACTCGTGCGACACTGTGTCGACACTTTCCTGGGTGCTCGAACTTTTCTCCGGGATGTGGTCCGTAAGTACGATGGGAGCAACATAACCCAGGGGGGCATCTCTTCGTCCCGGATGGTAGTCCGATGCTTCCCTGGGCCCACAAGCGGCCCCAGGGGCCCGAAGGGATTGGACAAAACATCTGCGAAAGGCCTGGGCACGTCAGCTGAGCGGTGAAGGAAAGAGGGTCGAACACTGGAGGGCGTGGCGACCCTACGCGGTGGCCTACACAGTCCGCCAGCGCGGCACACCGACTGGAGGCGAGGGCGCTCACACGCGAGCTTGCGCGGGAGGCTCAACTTCCCGCGAGCGTCGGCGCAGTACGGCAGGCTCGTGTCGTGACGACCTGCCAGCTGGCTTCTGAAACCGCGTGGATAGCTCATCCTTGAACGATCGCGGCTTTCCGATGTGGCGGCTCGTTCGGTAATGGCCGACTTCGCGCCGCTGGCGGCGTTCAAACTTGAAGGCCCGCGCTAGGGTCCCGCCGCGTCGACACGACACGACCTTACAATAGTCCGCCCCGTCTTCTTACGTCGCTCAGCCGAGATCAACGCCAGTGCAGACTTCTGCCGCACGAGGCGCGAACGGACAGACAAAATACAGGGCGGTGCGGACCGACGCACGGCGCCGCACGGCGCCGCACGCCGCAGCGCTTGGCTGGCGCACCCCGAAGCGGACGCCCGGCCTTGAGGGGGCGCCCCCTCAGAACGAGGCGCGGCGGCCCGCCCACGCCTGGCCCGCCACCGGCTCCGCCGCCGCCACGGGCGCCAAGGAGCGGGGCGGCGGCGCCATCGCGGCCAGCGCCGCCCTGCCGGGCGCGGCCGATGGCTCGCGGGCCGGCGCCGCCCGCGAAGCCGCTGCCGGCACCCCCGGCACGCCGGGCCGCCTCGACTCGGCGACGCCTGCGGCCGGCGCCGCCCTGCCTGGCGCGGCCGGCGGCCCGCGGGCTGCCGCCGCCCGCGCGACCGCCGCCAGCTCCGAGGACACGCAGGGCGGGCCCGCGGCGGCGGCGCCCGCGGCTGGCGTCTGCCACCACGAGGCCGCGGGCGCCAGCCCTGCAGGAGACACTGAGCCCAGGAAGTCCATCGGCTCGGTGCTCGCGAGGGGCTTGTACAGCCAGGAGGCGTCATGGAGGCGCCTGAGCAACATTGGCGGCGGCAGCAGCTTGAAGCCGGCGCCCTCCGCCCCGCGGCGCTGCACGCCGTGCTCCTCGGGGCCGTCGGCCTGCAGCAGCGGCCCGGCGGCGCCCTGCTCCCCGTCGGAGCCCTCGTCGGAAAAGGCGCAGCCGCGGGTCGCTGGCTCCGGGGGGGTGAGCGCTAAGAAGCAGGCGGTAGCAGCCATGCCCAGGGTGAGGAGGCTCAGCATCAGCAGCCACGCCAGGCGCGACGGGCCGCCGCGC